CTTCTACTTCATAGTTCAACAACAATTAAATTCAATCTATTTCCTTAAGTTTCTCAGATTAATGTACGGCAAGAATCGACGCATACACACGGGCGCACGCGAGTGCTAGCGGAGGTCGTGATCGGTTTATAAATTCCGACGAGCATCTAAGAAGGTATCGTTATCCTCATCTTATAATTCGGTTAGTAAGGTCATAATAAGATTAAGTGTTCGAATCATGTTCGAGAATTTCTAGTAAGGCCGTGCTAAGGTTCGATTATGCCTAAAGTAAACCGTGATCGAACAACTAATTGTTTTACCCGGCAACTCTCGTACAATTCACGTTTAATTGTTCAGTTTAAATTATTTCATGTCCAGTAAGTCCATGTTAGTCGAGGCAAAATGATGTTCTATCGATGAAGTGGCTCAAGCCGTCACTAGCGCTTATCGCGTGTGGACCAGGCGGCTTAGAGTCATGTTCTATCGCCTTCCGTGATGATCATGTTCTTTCGTGAATTTAAGTCTTAAATTACCTTAAAATAATGTTCATGTTTATGTATTCTGGAGTTGCCGAGGGAGAAGGTGTTTTGGTCGGGAGACGGCGTATTGCCGTCGGCGGCGCACGGCGCACTCGCCACGGCCCTTTCATGTTGCTCGTGCCAAAGTTACGTTTTCAAGTCAGTATATTGTTCATGTTAAGTCATGTGAGGTTATTTTATGTTGAAGTTGTCGGAAAGAAATGTCGGACGGTTGACGGGTGTTGGTCGTGTGTGCGCTGCCCGCATATCGCGGTAGCAGCGTACCGGCAGGAGGTACACAGTGCAGGGACTGCGCGGTAGAGTGCCGCGTAAGGCCAGTGCCCGCAGCCAATAGTTGTTGGCGATGCGCGTGCGCACGCCAACCCCACCCCCCCCTGTCATGCCTGTCAGCGTACAGTGACGCACGCCAGCGTGCAGTACGCGTTCCGTGGTTGTCCGCAGCGTTGCCCAGTGCACGCCTGCGATCAGTTCATAACCAACGGTACCGCAGCAGCGCGCCAGCGCACGGCCGCATGCGTGACTGCGCGCAGTACCGCGGTGATGACGGATCGATCTTTTGTCTATACTGGGTTGCGAATAAACGACGCACTGCGG